GGGTGTGCCTGGCATGTGTCAGGCTGCCCAGAATGGGGCTCTGAATTGTGGTCGACATGTGCAACCCATCTTTTTCAGAGCAGTATGTTACTGTAGGCCACAGAGCCAGGAGGGCAAGAATTTTTGTCTATTTTGTTTCCCATCCAGAGCCTACGAGTATCCTGCAACAGAGAAGATCCACAGTAAATATCCATTGAATAAAATAAATGATTAATCTTCATAAAAGCGCTATTAAAAATTGTGATCAAGTATTTTTTCCTATATATAATTTATAGACAAATGGTTGGATATTAAAAGTTGTTTTATAGAAATCTTCTAGTTGGAGAGCTGGCAGGTGGCATGGTGGTTAAGGGCCCTGGACTCCCGCATGGCTGACTGTGGTTCGAGTTCTGGACCTGGTGGCTTGTTTTCTCCCTCTCTCTCTCTCTCCCTCTCTCTATATCACTCTGTCCATCTCTGGTCAACTTTAAATAAATAAAAAAAAGTTAAATAAAATAATTTTTTTTTTTTAAATCTTTTAGGTGGACAAAATATGATGCCAGGACCGCTACAAAAGCTTTGATGGTCAAAGACGACCTGGAAGTCATTCCAACAGCATGGTGTGCTCCTTGGAACGTTTCTACAGAGGGATAAGCCTGAGCCATGAGAGTGGAAATCCTGGCAGTTTCCTGAAGCACGAACACTTGAATCGGCAAAGGTAGGGGTGCTGTTTCGTTCACTGTCCTCAAAACGGCTCTGGCAACACGTTTAGATGCTGCTTTCTGCCCCAGAGACTCTGAGACTCACTAATCTGTGTTCCCATTACTGCACAAAACATTGCATCCAGCTCCATGGTTCTCAGTACAGGCCAGGCAGCCTGTGAGAGAGTGAGACATAGAGACTAGAGGGATGTAGTCATTGTTGGGGGGCTCCTTCTCTACTTGAGGCAATCACAATCCTGGCAGAGGCTTTGCGGTCATGACATCGGAGGGCTGTGAGAGTCACATTGGCTGCTCGGACTCTTCCTTGTTCCTAGGACTCTGGCTTTCAGCTCCCGTCTAGTGCAAATGCCTCTCAGCTCGTCTATCTCGGCTGAGACTTGGGTACTATCTCTCTTACTCAGTGTGGGTCATAACGAGCTCGATGACTGGCTGGAAGAACTGATAAAGGACTACACTGACCTAGAAGCAAGAGTAACAACTGGCCTCTCAGGTCCTGGAAAACCGTAATGCGTGGATGAGTGAAGCAAATCCTCCGTAAGACTGCATTCGTGACATCTGACTTATTTCTAAACAGAGGGGAACCTGGGCAGGTGGGTAAACATATGCAAATCACAAAACTGTGCACCCCCTGTATCAGTCTTAATTATTTCCTGTATTTTGATATGCCCTTGGGTCAAAACAAGCCTCTTATAAAGTATTGGTCTAGGGGTGCATAGAGATTTATGAACTCCAAGTTCTAAATCCATTTGTTCTTTGAGTACCTTGGGTAATTTTTATAAAATAGCTTTGTTGAAATATAATTCACACACCATATCATGCCCCTACTTAAGGACACAATTCAATGGTTTTTAATATATTCAGTTTTTTTTTTTGAGAGAGATTTTTGCTATAGGGCATGTGTGCTCACCAGAGAGACAGAGAGACTGAGAGATAGAAAGCGAAAAAATCAACCCCCAGGAGGGATGACCACGCCGCAATCCTGTCTCCTCCATTCTCCTCTTGGGCTCTTGGGCACACACGCACTCACGCCCAGCATGAGTTTAAGCCACTGGGTCTGGGACTCGAACGGTGGTCAACTACATAGGAGTCCAGCGACATAGCCATTACACTAACTACTGGCCCCAATATATTCAGTTCTATCACCAGCACCATAGTCAATTTTAGGCCATCTGTATCCCCCCAAAAGACACCCTGTGCCCTTTAGCAGTCACTTTCCATTTCTCCCCACCTATCTCCCACTCTAGCTAAGCAACAATCCGTCTACTTTCTGTGGCTATAGATTGGCCTGTTGTGAATGTGGTGTGAATGGAATCAAACGACATGTGCTCTTTCTCTTAGGACAATTGTTTTCGTGCTCCTTCATGTGGTCGCCTCCTCTTTATTGCTAAGACTCTGTTGTGCCATTCTGTACCACATTGTATCCCCCCGTTCCTCACTCAGCAAACATCTGCGTGCTTTCCACTTTGTGGCTACGGTGAGCTATGCTACCATAAACGTTTGGGCACAAACGCTTACAAAGAGTTTTCAGTTCTCTTGGAGAACAGTCCCAGGAGTGGAACTGATGGGGCTTTTGGTAACTCCATGTTCAACTTTTTGAGGAAATATCAACCTAATTTCCACAGCGACGGCACCATTCTACATTCATGCACCATTATATGATGGTTCTGATAGCTCTACCTCTTCTACACTTGTTATTACTGTCTTTTTAATTACACACATGCTGGTTTTTCAAAGTGGTATTTTGTGTGTCTTAATTACCACAGGGCATACATGCTTGAAGGAGGAAGAGGGAGAGAGAGAGCGAGCGAGCGAGAGAAAGCACCCCTCCCACACACACACACCCAACAGGTTGGGGTCACTCTGCAATCCCTTCTCCTCTATTTCTTCATCCTGTCAGGATCTGGGCCTGCACATACCCACCCCAGGTGTGTTTTTCAAGTTGCTGGAGCCGGGATCCAAACCACAATGGGCAATGTAAGATCATGTTCCCTCACCCAGTAGGCTATGGGACTGACCCTCATTGTGATTTTGATTTTCATTTCTTAACAACTAGTGATAGTAAGCCTGTTTCTATGTGTTTATTGGTCATTGGTACATCTTCTTTGTAGAAATGGTTGTGCAAGCCCTTGGTCCTTGGTAAAATAGGTTCTTTGTCTTTTTGATACTGAATTTTTCGTTTTTGGCCTTAAGACTTGGGGAATGGTTGGAAGAAGAGAACTCCAGACTTCTCAGTTGCCCTGGCCTGGAATAGAGCTTCTGTAACACAAAGCAGGGGAGAATGAGAAATGCAGGGGCCCTGCTTCTCCAAGGGACAAGCGGTAGCCCTAGACCGGGATCGTGGCTGAGACGGAGCCCTTGTTCTCAGCTGCATTCATCCTGAGTGCAGTGTCCCCAGGCCAGAGCGGACCTCCTCAGACCAAGCTGGAGGGAGTGAGGAAATGAGCTGCAGCTCAACTGCCAGAAACTCTTGCTGTTTTTACTGAAATATGCCCTCCTCAGACCAAGCTGGAGGGAGTGAGGAAATGAGCTGCAGCTCAACTGCCAGAAACTCTTGCTGCTTTTACTGAAATATGTGAGGTAATCAAAATGTTTGTGGAAAATGCATAATGGAAAAACACACATGGATTTCAAGCTTTTTGTACAAAATAAACACGTAATTTTATTCAAATTTTCCTTAAACTTTTTGAAGTCTCAGCATATGGTAGATTGTTTTGAATAAATATTTGTGTACTGTATTCCCTCAGGACAATTTCCAGGGACCTGGAATGGTTGTTTATCTACACTATTTTTTTAAAAACCAATTATCACTGTTTTTGGAAAGAGTGGATTCATTGAACTCTTTATATCACCATTATGAACGTTGAGTCCCATTTGAATAATTTTTAATTAAGATTTTGCTTCATGTACAGTTGGTTGTAAGGAAGTTTATATTGACATAGAAAAACATAATTTAGCTGTAGAATTGTGAATAACAAGTATTACAGAAGTATTTGAAAATTTAGAAACATTGGAGTAAGGAAACTAGGAAAATTGAGGACTGGTTGACTTTCAACTTCATACTTAGACTGTGGCACGTCCATATATTTAGTTTGACAAATCATTCTTAATTTATTTTTATTAAATAGTTGTATAGAAATACTTGAATAACAAGAATAATAAGGCATTTTGCACTAGAGTTTGCAGTTGTTGCTCTATAATCTAAATACAAAGCTATTATAGCAAAGTGATGACTATATTAAAAAGCATAGGAATAAATCAGATATGGAAATCGATTTATTAAAACCTCAACTGTTTTACACATAAATTTAAGACATTTGTTAGCAAAAAAATGATTGTGTATGTTTTAATTTTTGTTTAATTCTATACAACTATTACACTACTGGAAAACACCCTGATGCATTTATTTGGGCTGTGGAGATTTACGTTTCACAATTATTTAAATTCTCTACCTGATAATGGGCTGGCTTCATATATCAATCGCCAACCAGTTGAATGTCATTTTATTTGAAGCGGATCTTCATCTTGCCCATGTCTAAACGATTTTTCTAACCATTCCTCCTTCCCGCCTCCCCAGGAGAAAGTTAACCACACGGTTCTCCTTGGGTGTAGCAGTTTGGTTAGATATCTAGGATCACTTAAGCATCTTAAAACACACACACACACACACATTGCTTAATAATCATGAGAAAACGTTAAAATGTACTTCTTGTTGGAAAGTCTTCACTTTTTTGGGCAGCTGACTTTTGCGTACAAGTGCCTACAGTATTGTAAAAGAGCATGGAGTAAGGATGAGTTCTCCTTGGGTGTAGCAGTTTGGTTAGATATCTAGGATCACTTAAGCATCTTAAAACACACACACACACACACATTGCTTAATAATCATGAGAAAACGTTAAAATGTACTTCTTGTTGGAAAGTCTTCACTTTTTTGGGCAGCTGACTTTTGCGTACAAGTGCCTACAGTATTGTAAAAGAGCATGGAGTAAGGATGAGTATTTAAGGGATCCGAGCACTTCTGGTGACACTTCCCTACATAGTTATTACACAGAGCTTAGCAAAGTGATTTTGTCTTCTTTTGGTTTAGAAAGTTTCAATATTAAAGTTTGACTTCCGTTGAGTGCAACACCCAACTTTCCAACAGAGTAAAATGTAAATGGAAAAATCCATTTAATTCTTAAAACTGGGATGGACTTACATTAAAAGCTGATAAATCCCGGATTTCCCCCCTCCCCCAAGGACAGGAATTCTGTCCTACCCAAGCTCCTTTCCAGTTGAGTAGGTATTTTGGAAGATGCTTACCTCCTGGTGGTGTGGGTTTCCCTCGGCTTAGGTGAGCACCAAGGCTTTGGCTCCTCCCCAGCTGCTGTGAGCTTCCCACTGCGCCTGGCGCCTCTGAGCCTCCCGGAGTTAGGTGTTCGGCCCCGCCCTCCGGACTATTGCTAAAACTCTGATTCTGCCAGACCGATTCGGTGATTAATTATTGACAAAAGGAAAACACTCCTACGCAAACTTGTGTCCAACCGCACTGCTCCCGGCGACTCCTGGCAGAAGAGAATGCCGGCTGCACCACTCCCCTCCCCCCTTGCTCTACGGTCCCAACTTCCCAAACGCTGCCACTTGCAGTCCTGGGTGATTAGGCTCGTCCTCAGAGAAATGCAGCACAGCGACTTCTGCTCTTTACATTTTGGTGTTCTGCAGCTCGTTCGCCCTTCTCCGGGGGCCTGCCTCTCAGGATGGGGCGCTCTCCCACTGCAGGGGACGCTGGGGCTCCGAGAGCAACAGAGGTAGCTCAGGCGTCGCTGTTCCCGGCTGCTGCAGTAAAACCGCGAGCCGAGGCGGGGATGGGGAGGAGGGGATAGGGAGGCGCCCTCCCCCCCCTGCTCGGGCTGGGAGCCCCGACACCACTAAAGGGGCACGACCTTGGGTGGTGGTGATGGTCGAGGGGCGGGCAGATAAACAGGAGGTGCGACCGTGGGAACTCCTGCGCTTCAGCCTAAGCCCACGTTGGACAGCCGGGGGAAACCCTGCGCCCCGCATCCTTCCGCCTGCAGACGCGGGCTGGGGAGCGAGCACGCCGGGTGTGCGCGGAGAGGGCTGCGGTCTGAGACTAGGCAGCAGGCTGCGAAGTGAGCCCGCGGCGCGGCCCGGGCTGCAGTGGACCCAGCAGGCATCCCGCGGCACCTGCTTGTCAAAACCCGGAGAAAGCAAACCCTTGAGCATCGGTGGCTGACTCGGATGCCTCCGGTCGTGCCAAACGCCTGTTCTCGCCCCACTCCCTCGGTTCTGCCACCTTCCCCTCCTGGCTGGGAGGTTAAGCGTGGACAAGCTTGATTCCCCCGGGGAGACAGATGGAAGGATCGTGCCCGGGCACGCGTGTGTGCTCGCTCAGGAGTGCAGAGAATTAATGTGGGCCCGGACTGCGGCAGGGGCGCAAACCCGGGAAGGAGGGCCGCGAGGCGGCCGGGTGGTGCAGAGGCGCGGCGCGGGCTCCCGCGGCTACG